TTAATCTGATGTATGACTCCCCCCCCCCCCATGTGCTGGGCTCATGACCCATGGGAAGAGAACCATGATAGCCATGGCTGCCATAAAGTCTTCAGTATGGCCTGAGAAAGGCGCCTTCTCTATCTGGATGTTGTAAGTGTTCAGGACAGTGAGCCCAGAGAGGGGGGCAGGTCTTACATCAGGGTGGAAAATACCTTTGCTGGCTCAGACAGGCCCTTTGTTGGTGAACTAGGTGGAAAGTACTGCAGCAGGGTGCCTAATCTGTCCCTGGAAGCCAGCATGAATCTGAAAGAGGAGTTGTGGAGAACTATGGCTTAATATACACACGCCATCCTCCAGTTCAGGAAGTTGATAAAGGACTGCAAACTTAGTGGCCAGACCGCCTTGCCTGGCAAGATGGGTAGTGGAAGAATTACTGTGTTCCTTTAAGTAAGATAGGGGGAGGGGAGCAGAGGGAATTAAAGCAACTCTCTGCTGAATTCCTAAAGCTGGAGGAAGGGCTGCTGGTGAAGGCAGAGTCCCTCCTGAAATGAAAAGGTGGTGAGGTTTCAAGGGGAGGGATAAAAGTGTGTGTGTGTTGTTGTTGGCTTTTTTTGGGGGGGGGAGATTCCAGAAGTACCACCATATTCAGGTCCTCAACCCCTTGACTTCCTGGCTGCAAGTGACCAAGAGCCTGGGGCTTCATGTGTGCGGGTACCTGAGCCCTCTGGAGTTTCTTTTATTGTTTCTTGCCTGAAAGAGCTGGGTGTAACTTGAAAATAGTACCATTAGAAGCAGCATGAGCAGGACTGAGAAATCACATCCTGAGAAATTTTATCTTTCTAAACATTTTAATTTTTTGCTTTTGTAACATGCAGCCTGATGAAGAGTTCTGGTGAACTCAAAAGCTCATGCATTGTTATTGTCAATGTCCCTTTAAATGTCTCTGTCTCCTTTTGTCTCTGCTTGTTGGGCTCTGTGCAACCTGAGTGTGTGCAGATACTCAGTGGAGAACACTGATAATTGTGAACAAACTTCCTTTTGGTGCACTATCTTAAAGAAAAGTGGTTCTGCTTTAAAAAGGGTGCACTTGATTCTATTACATACATAGAGGACATATTTACTCATAGAGGCTGTCCTACAAGTCTTACACCCATGGCAGTTGCTGTAGGGAACATCTTTTCTGTAGTTAATTTTTTTAAATTATAGGATTTTTTAAAAACAGAAAAATAAAAGTACACAGAGAGAAAAAGTCGACAAAGCATGTCAATATCATATTTATCCATGACAAAAGCAGATATAATTACAAACTTAATACTTAATCTAATAATAATTTACTCTAAAATTATAACCAAGTTGAAATTTTAAAAATCTTCATTTGTATTATCTAAAATTATCCTTTTCTAAAGTGACAGTATTATTATTATTTATTTAATTTATATCCCACCCTGTCCCACAAGTGGGCTCAGTATACATTAAAAAGTGGCCCGCCCCTAATAATTGTGGCCATAGGTTAGGGATGAATGAGTAACTGTAGCCGCTCAGAGACCCCTTAGGGGGTTAGAGCGGGGTAGTAAGATGAAATAAATAAATAAATAAATAAATTCAATTGTGAACGTTTTCCCATAAGCTTTCTATTGGCTTTGGAAGAGGTGGTAGTTCCTCCTTGTATTAAAGAGTTGACAAAACTGTGTGAGAAGATACATTAACAGAGTATTCATGGACAGTTGCAACTGAGCCACAGCCAAACATAGATGGGGCCGTTTTAAATTTTTGTTAAAAGATTTCTAAACTGTGTATTTCCTGCTTCTAGGCTTTGCAGAGCTGGAATGGAAAGCTGGGTGGAAGTGTGAGCTGGCATCCTGCAAAGTGCATCATTTTCTCCTAACAATTTACTGGTAGCAAATTATTTTTCAAGTTCCCCTTGTTGTTGTTGTTCAGTCGCACAGTCGAGTCCGACTCTTCGCGACCCCATGGACCAGCTCCCGCCAGGCCCTCCTGTCTTCCGCCGTCCTCTGAAGTTGGCTCATTTTTATGTTCGTTGCATCGATGACACGGTCTAACCATCTCATCCTTTGCCGTCCCCGTCTTCTTTGACCTTCAATCTTTCCCAGCATCAGGGTCTTCTCCAGTGAGTGCTCCCTTCTCATTTGGTGGCCAAAGTATTTGAGCTTCAGTTTCATTATCTGGCCTTCCAGGGAACAGTCAGGGTTGATTTCTTTTAGGATTGACTGATTTGATCTTCTTGCAGTCCAAAACATAAGTTTGATTATGTTTTGATTAATTCATAGTGTCTGTGTTCAAACAGTGGTCCTCTCAACATCCTAGTACATTCTTGTTGTTCTTCCCCTTATTTGAAGCTGATGAGAAGGGCTGGCATTATGAATAAGGTGTTTTGTTTTCTGAACCCTGCCTGTGACTTAGGGCAGCGATTATCCCTTGGTCTATATTTACAGTGCAACCTTAGAATTGTTCCAATCTAAATTTATTAACTGCAGTGGGCTTAGATTGGGGTAATTCTGCATAGATTGCATTGCAAATCTGTTGAGAGCTAGTCTGCAAGTTTTTGATGCTAAGTATGCAGACCTCAATGATTTCTATTTTGAAATCCAAGAATTTTGCAGTCTGCTTTAGCCCAAAGTCCAACAATCAATTAATTTAACATTAAACGTCCTTTTGGAATACCTGTTTCCCGTGCAGTACATAGTTTCCCCCATAATCTCTTCTTGTTGCCTCCCACTGTTCTAGCTTGTTACAGCTTTGATGAAAACTCTCACTCTGTTGAACATACGATGTGATGGTACTTACAGATATCCCTTTCTGACTACATCTTTCCATTCCACATCACATGTCATTCTGACCTTCTGGAGCAGCTTTTTGAGGGACTACAGCTCAGGGAAAGCTGCCTCTTACCCATCTGGGCATGAGCAGAACAGTTTTCATTCATGCAAGTAGGAATATATAGCTTTTGTTTTTGTGGCTTGATATTTGAACAACTGGTTTCTGCTGACCCCCCCCCCCCCGGGTATGGATATGAAACATGGTGTCTTTATCCTCTGTCCACTTCTGTATGAGTCATCTCAGTGAATGTCAAATTCAGGAGAAAATTAGCTTTAGACTTTCGGAGGGGTTTGAATCATAGATTATTTGGATTTCATAAAATCTTGTATCTGAACCCCTTGCTCTTTGAAGAATCATTTTGAATGAGCTGTGTATTCACAGGTGACCTGGATCAAGCCAGGCTGGCTGCCAGCCTCTTGTGCTTTGAAAGTGAGTCCCTGGGAGTGCTGTTCTGATGTTTAGCTGATTGGTTATATTCCTCCAATACAAATCTTCTGATTAAAAATGTTCCCCTCATTATCTGGGCAAAATTATCAATAAAAATTAGAAAAGTATCAATCAAAAATTACAAAAAAGCAGATTAGCAGCATTCCTTCATATGTCATATAAGAGGAAATTCCTTTGCTAGCATGGTGTTTGCTGTGATGCGTGAGTGCATCATCTGTAAACAACATAATAGTGTTTTTCTTCAGAACTAGTTCCTTTTCTTGGATTTAATTGAAACAGACAGTCTAATTTCTTAAGATTTGTTTAATCAGGTAAATGGAAAAGAGTATTTGGAAGGGCTTACTAGGAAGGAACAACTACTATGTATCTAGGTTGCAAATGTATTTAGAAACAAACTGGTCTGCAAAGTAATGTTTTCTTCTTCCTAGCGAGAATTCATAAGGGTGCTGGAGAAGTCTGGTGGTTCTGCTTTTGCAGAAGTCCAGGTCTGGCGTCTGTGTTCTGACCAGATGTCGTCCCGTAAAGGATCAGCAACCAGCCAAGGAAATGGGCCTTCAAATAATGGCAGAGGCAGGGAAGATGTGGAACTGGCTGAACTTGGACCCCTGTTAAAGGAGAAAGGAGACCAATTGGCAACTAATTCATCCAGTGTAAGTAGTACTCTGTCAGGGAACTGTATTAAACCATTTATATAGATGTCTGCTTATTAAAAATCACTTTGCTGTAACTCTCTCAAGTCATACAAACTTGACAGGAGAACGAACTTTGAGTCCAGCGGCACCTTTATGACCAACAAAGTTTTATTCAAGGACATATAGGTAGAGAGTGGCAGTAAATTAGCATACAGCATAATAAAGATGTTTAACAGATTCAAGGACCAAACAGGGATAACAAGCTTAGTTTTTATTGTTACCATTTGTTTGGGTTTAATTCCAGGGGGAAATATAGTGAAGGAAACAAATATGTCAAAATTTGGAGATTGATGGGCAGATGTATCCTTTACTGTGGAATGCTGAGAGGAATTAACTGAGACCCTGATATCACGCACCGTCCGTCTCCTCTCAAGCATGGAGGCGACGTTACAGCATCATCTTCTTTGAAGTGGGGCGATTCCATTTCATTGTATCTGAAGAAGTGTGGATGCACACAAAAGCTTATACTTTGAATAAAACTTTCTTGGTCTTAAAGGTGCCACTGGACTCAAACTTTGTTCTACTGCTTCAGACTAACATGGCTACCCACTTGAAACTTGACAGGATTCATTGAAGCATAGTTCCTTCAGGAAATAGTCATTTTTTTTAGTAGGAAAAGGTGAATAGGGGAGGCCTCCTGTTTTTAGAGAACTGTACCTGAATATGTGATGGGGGAAAAACTTCTAGTGAAATGCCATTTTTCCTAAACAAGTTCCTAGAGCTCAGGTCAAGTATTAAGGTTCTTGCAGTGTCTTTGTAGAGTAGCTGTAAATATACTGGAGAATCTTGTTAGCAGCTTTGTAGCTGTAGTCTCTGCCAAGAGAATGGGTTCTTGTGTAGTTTTTAGGTTTGACCTTCATCTTGCAGTGCTTCTCCACTTTGCTGGACCATATACATCAATGTATTTATTTGTCACATTTGAATCCTTCAGCATTCATGGACATGATTCCATTTTGTTCTTACAACAGCCTAGAGATAGGTTAGATTAAAAGACAACACTGGATTCAGACCTTCATGGCAGCGTGGGGCTTTGAACCCAAGTCTTCCTGGTCCGTGTCATATACATCAGACGGCTCTGGGACGTAAAAAACTTGGAACTAAACTGAATTTCCCTCTCTTGTATGCATTGTTCCTTATGTTGCACATCTGTCACCTTTCCTGCTCTGTAAACTAACTTGTAAAACTGCTTGTTCTAACAACACACTTCAAGATATGTTTTTTCCTAGTAGTACCACTCCTCTGCAGTTGAGGACCAGTTTGTTTTCTTCTTTATGTCGAAAGTGTAGAGCTGTGAAAGAAACACAAAGTCTACACTGTTAAGGAAGCAAATATATGATGAAAAGGAGGCCTGTCTTTTCTTTCCTGCTTTGGGTGCCTCCTAATTTGTTTCCTGGGTTCCAGCCAGGATGGGAAATTAAGTTGCCAATTTGGGCATCCTCTTAACCCTAAGAAGGAAAAGCCTCTGCTTTAATCCTTGCTCTGAATTCCAGCAAATCAGGGATTACTGCTGTGTTGGCATTTGACTGTAAAGCTGCATGTGTGGGCAGTCACTGAAGGACTTTTGATAATGATAAACTGCATTATTATTTTGGATTGCTTAGAATAACTTAGGGAAGGCTCTCCATTGGCTTTTTAAAAAAATGATCTAGCTGTTCATTATTGTACATGCAAGGCTCTCTTGGGCATGCTGTATCTGCTCCTTAAGTTTTCATCTGTCCAGTACTGCAAGCCTCCGTGTTGTTGTTTGTTTATTTATTTCATTTATACCCCGCCCTCCCTGCACGTGGGCTCAGGGCAGCTTACATAGGGACAAAGTGCAGTAAAAGTAAAACAGGTTAAAACAATTAAGACTAAAATTCACATCAAACAGGATACATGAAAGACTATAAATACACACTCCCGCATTGCATATCAGGGAGGGATCAAGGGGGGGGGGCGCCATGGGCCATGATGTTCCAGATGACCAGTCGGCCCAGCCCGGCGATACTGCTCTGTAGTTGCACAGTGGTGGTAGTGGCGGCGGCGACTCCTACTCAAAAGCCTGGCGGAAGAGCTCCGTCTTGGGAAAGCTAATTCCTAACTTGAGTGGAGGGCTTTATTATTATTTATTGTGTGGCTGTGTTGCACCTTGTGCCTGCTGCATGGGGCTGGCAGCCTGGCTAGAGAGAGAAAGAGAGAGTCTGAGTGAGTGAGTGAGTGAGTGAGTGAGTAAAGGGAGGGACAGACAGACTCACCTGCCCACATGCAGTGGGGGAAGTCCCTTAATTGACACCGCCAGGCCATTTCCAGCAGGTGAATTTGCAATCTCACATTTTTTCATCCACTTTTAACTTACCTGTTTGTTTCTCAGCCTCCCCCTATCCCACATCTGCTCTTCACTGTCCCCCTCACCTCTTCTAAACCCCTTCCCCCCCACCTTTCCATGTGCCTTGGCTCCCCACTCTTCTTCTTCCCCTCATGCTTTGGTTATTTGCATAAAGCACCTCAGACGCAAGAGGGAAGAAACTGCAGCTCCTTCACCTCTGAGATTCTTCCTCTTTATGTCCCATATTGGCACCTCATTCTCAACCCTCCTCCCTCCTGCTTTCCCTCCACCCTTTCCTTCTCCATGCATTGAACACATGAGCATAGCAAGTTCAAAGCAGCAGCCACCCTGCTCCCTGGTGCATGTATGTGTGTGAATGTTCTCCCTTGAGGGGGGGATATTTGGAGAAGGGTAGGATTTGCTTATGGGGCTTGTGCACTCTTCCTTTAAGAACTTGGGGCT